TGTTACCCAGAGTAAGACCTACCTAAAAGATTTGCGAAAAATATGTAGATGAAGGATATCTGGGAATTATCCAAAAATTTTGGTTGAAATAGTTGCTAAATTGCGTCTGAAAACACGCGAAATAGGTTTTTCATTGATAACAAAAAAACTATAAATTTTACAGGAAAAATTTAAAAGCAAAAGTTGCAGAGNATTTGTGAAAAATCGCTGATTTTAACAATTAAAAAAATGAATAAAGAGTAAATCAGCGATTTTTAGAAATTTCCTGAAAATGCTCAAGTTTGGAAATAGTATAAATAATATCGATGACTTTTGTCGCGCCCTCGCCGGGAATCGTACACAGGTCACTGGTTTTACGTTCTATCATTGCTGTACCACTAAGCTACAAGAGGTACGGGTTCAAATCTCGGCGAAGGCGTGACAGCAACAACAATTTTTTCTCATTAATTTCAGGTTATCTGTAGTAGTAAAAATTAATTCACTTTAAATAATTTAAAAAATTGAAATTCACCCTACAAAAGTTCTTCTAAATTTCTTAATTTTTGTTGCATTATAAACCCCTCAACCTTTTCATGATGATAAGTAAAATCAACATATCATTAAAAGAAAATGGAAAAGCGACTGGAAATTAATATTCAACTGTCTTTTCTCATTATTATTCTAGTAAATTTCGCTGATGGTGTTACTCTAATACCATAAATCATGACCGTTGAATATAAATTCACCGATAACTTTAATGCCGTGTCTATTTATCGTATTTTAAATGTCACCCTTAATAATAACGTTGAAGATAATGTCGCTGTGCCAATTTTGCTTTTGTCATCGGCTACATATATTTAGCGAACACGCCATTATTCACTTAATTACTTCTAATTAGATTGCAACACCACCTGCCATTGTCTATTATCTTTCCAACCGTTGTTTACAACCCATGAAAATAAACCACGGAATTGTAATTCATATCCCACTGGGTAATTATATGCGTAAATGATATTCCTGAAATAAATAAATTAACCTAATGTTTTGTAAGATGTAAAAATAAACTAATCTAATACAAGTAGGTACAGTGTAACAAAAAATTTCTTTATATTTCGCCAGAGATTCTTATAGTGGAAAAAATATTTTTTAAACATTAATTTTTTTTCCTGTAGTCCAGGAGGCGGAGCTTAAAATAGTATAAAACCTCGCATTTTTTTCAAAATGCATCGATTTGCATGAAAATTTGGGATTAAGCTCAGGGTAACTTCAACTTCAAAATCCATATTATGCCGAGAGGTACTCTTCATTTTTTAGAAGTGAAGACTACCCCTTTCTGCCAAAACCTAAAACTGTTCAGTCTCTCAGAGTCTCTGAAAGCGAGACTCGAGTCTCCGTCTCTCATCGAGTCTCTTTGGTGTCGCTGAGAGAGACTGTCGAGAGACTATAAAAGAAAACNCAAAATACGTATTTTCAAAATACAATTTTCAAATAAATACTTTTTTCCAGTATCTATTTAATTTTCTACATTTACTTAACTACAATGTGTTTTTTAAAAAACCTTGCAGGCAGTATCTCATTTTTTAAATATTAGAGTTTTTCTAGAGTATTCTAGACTAATAGTGGTGTTTGCACTAATGACCAGCTGCAAAGGTTGAGTATGATTCATATTTTTCTTTTCACCCGTTTTAAATGGAAAAAAGACGCTGATGCCAAAATAGTTTGTTTATCGTGAAAGATCAAAGCCAAAATAGGGTTACAAATAATTTTATTGATAACAATCATTTTATGTGAAAATATTTACAACTCTATTTTATTTCCAATCCTTTATACATTATAATAAGAGGAAGAAATGAAATCCGTAGTTTCTTTAGCTTTGGGTTCATTTAATAAGTGATGTTTTTTCAATTGTTTTCTAAGAATTTTGGATTATAGGCATTTATTACCACAACACAATATCTTGTAGTTTTCAGTTAACACAGCTGGCGTATATCAATTCGATATTATTTTGCGGGCTGTTTTGTCGTAATTCATAAAATTTCGTAGTTCCTTGCTAAAGGTACGATAAGTGGTCATTTGGTAGGTACTGATATCAATTAAGAACTTCAAAATTCCATGGATCATGACACTGAACCCTAAAACAATATCGATCCAATATTTTTTGGACTCTCTTCAGTTAAAGAATTAGAAGACATTCATGGAATGTCTCTTTGTCCCCTTTTTAAGTTTCTAACACCTTCACTGGTCAATGTGAGCAACTTTTATTCATCATTTCATATAATATTTGATCGGTGATACTAACAACAAAACTTTTAACAACAAAAATGTATTTTGCATAAATACAAAATGTTTTTCTCAAAAAAGTATTTAAATGCAAGTACGCCGATTCGATTCCGAGTCCGTCTGCCTTGGTACAAGTTTTTCTGTGGATTCCTTGGATCACTTAGGTAAATTCTGGGGCAGTAATATTCCACAGATAATCTTTCGTTCTCTTCTGTGTTCATTTCGTCCGTCTCATCTTTCTCACCTGAACCACCATCCACCTATTTCTACGATTCCTGAAACGAGGCTGAAGAGAGCCTTCCCTGTCTACTGACATAGTTCGGAGAGACTGCCCGCCCACTAGTGGCTGATGGGAATGAAACACCCAAAGGAAGAGCAACAACAAGAATTGGACGTGTCATTAAACGCCAAACCGTTGAAGTTGCTCGCGATGAGCGTATAACTTCTCCGAAAACGAAATTTGAAGTTATATTTTTCAACTCTCTTTTGGACAGTAGCATAAATTCATTTAGTGAACGTTTTGAACAGTTAAATGAATACTGGGAATCTTGACCTTTTCTGTACAATATAAAAAAGATTCCGGAAAAACCATACCTCAAACTCTGTAGTGATCTCCAACTCAATTTAACTGTAGGCTCTAAATCAGATATAAGTAGATGGTTGTATGTCCTGGGATGAACTCATAATCTAAAATCTTTTTTGCCTGATCAGAATGTGGTTACTCCTGTCTTTATTTTAAATTTTATGAAAGATCGCAACTTAAAGAGCTGTATCCAAATGAATGGATAGCATTGCGAATATTGATCTCTACCTATACTAGTAACTGTGGCTAATGGGGAATGGAGTTCTTCTAAGCTTAAGCTGATAAAAAGCTATTTGAGATCGATAATATATCAATTTAGATTGGCAAATTTAGCAATTTTGTCAATCGAAAATGAAATTGCGGAAAACATAGGCTTTGATGTCTTAATAAAGAAGTTTACCGATGGATAGGCTAGAAAAGTAAACGTAAAATTTTATTAGTTCTTTTAATAAATGATTATTTCATTATATCCTTTGCCTTCTTTTTCGTATGAGTTTCAATGTAGTGTTGCCCAAACGCAAGAACAAGACGAGACTTAGCCAGTCTTGGTCTTGGTCTTGCGCCAATACACCTGGTCTTGGTCTTGGTCTTGGTCTTGCGCTCCCAGTCTTGGTCTTGGTCTTGGTCTTGCAGCAAGAGTCTTGCAAGTCTTGCAATTACCTATTAGTCTATTACTATTTATTAAAGTTTACTTTAAATCCTAGAAAAACGTATTAGAATTGGAACATTGTGAGCTTGAATGAATATAGCCATAGTAAAGATCAAGCAGATTAATAAATAACTGAAGATTTGATAAGAAATTCGAAAAATCAACTGACCTATATGTCGTTTTCCATGGAAGTAACTGTTTCTTAATAAACATTTATGATCCTTGCTTTCTACCGCGCCGCCTCGCCACGTGCCGGCTCTATGATAAGGATGCCGCCGCAAATCAAACAATAATATAAAGCGTGTAAAAAAATTCGAAATTATTTTGCATGAGTATACCTACACCCTATGGCGGCAATCAAATAGTGTCAAATGTTATGATTTCGGCGTGGCGGCAACGATTGTTTTAGATTTCAAAAGAAGCCGCCGGCGCGTGTATCATAACCATGTACTTCCGAAAAGCGGCAAATTTCTTTGAGAAGTAAGTACAAAACCTTTGATGCCGCATTATCAAAGTGCCGATGGTTAAAACATAACTATGCATGCACTCAGTTTGATTTTAATAATTTTTTTATTCGCTATGTTTATGGTATTAGTCGTAATGCGCATAGGTCCAGTTTTTCATATTCTTTGATACAGTTTTTTGCGTCTCATAGAATTCCTAAGCGTACCTACCTATACACCGAACTGTTACACCTAACTACTCAGTGAAATAGCGCTAAGTCCTAGCTGCAAGACGCAAGAGTCTTGCAGGCTATGTCTTGTTCTTGCTCAAGTCTTGCACGGTCAGTCTTGGTCTTGGTCTTGCTAAAAATACGCGGTCTTGTTCTTGGTCTTGGTCTTGCAAAAACGCAAGAACAAGACCAAGACTGCAAGACCAAGACTGAATTTGGGCAACACTATTTCAATGGCAGATAGGGGGCGCTGGTAGTGCTAAAACCGGCACTAATGAAAAAAAATACCAGTATTTTTGGGTGCCAAGGTGGTAATACCTTGATACATTACTTGATACAAATTATTAAAAACTAGTACTAAGGAACTAATACATCTTACGTACTGCACGGCGCCGTGACTCATCTAATAATGATTTTCGCCGCCCTTAGTTTGAACCGTTCGAAGTCAATGGCACCCTCCGCTTTCCCCCCTTCCCCTCACGTTACTCCACTGGAAGCTAACTCCCTAATTATTTTATAAATTGATACTCTACTTACTGATTAAATTGAAATTGTTTTAGTATTTATTTAAAAGCATCTTAAGATGGTGACTTTCTTAAAATGATGACTTTATAATCGGTCAATGATCATTAATTACCCCAGAGAAATACTAAAGGATCGATATTTTATTTTTTGGGATGCTATTTTGCCTTACTGTTAAAGAATTTGGTACCTAGCTCATTTATATCTTTCGTTTTTCTCTAGAAAAGAGCGTTTCCGTGATGTAATATTCCGTTAATTTGCAATATGCCTGTGCAATACAATAAAAATCTAATTCTTTGTTTTTATTGTTCCAGGTTTCATAATGGTCCCGACAAACTGAGCGAGTTAATGCGAAAAAGCATGTCGAAGGATCCAATTGCACCAATCTTATGGGAACCGCACCTCGAAGCGCTCGATAGGAGAGTGGAAATAATTCTTAGGGCGGTCAGGGAATGTCTGTCCAAAGGGGAAAATCTTAGTACCAACGACGAGGATGAAGACACGTAGCGTTTTTACGTATTTTAGTTAATAGGGGTTAATTTGGGTTTAAAAAAAGTATGATATGCACAACATTTCTCGAAAATTAATAAATATTTATAACCTGTGAAATATAATAAGTATGCATAGTTACAACATTTACTTACAAAGTAAAAAGGGTGTTTGTTTTTAATGAGAAACGTTGATGCAAATCCAATGATATTTATTTGGTCTTTAAAAACCATTTAACTATTTGTAAATATAAGAGGGATTTAGTTTTAGAATTGACTTTCTATATTTTGTATAACAATGATTGTAGATAACGAAAACCAATGAAATGTACAGTTCATTTAATTAAGGGTTAAAATGTGGGTCTTTAGTTGTTGAAAATTCATCAAAATTTTATAAATTGTTTGCATAAAATATCTAACAAAAACACTATAATTGTAAAATTTTAATAAGTCGATCAAGTTCCGCATAATTAATTAACAAAATATCCAATGTTGTTGATAGCACTATTTCAGTAAGTCCATATTTTTAATATCTATCAAAAAAAAATTACAAAATACTGTTCAAAATTCTACGGAAGCTTATTAAGCTTTTACAGAATTATAGTGGTTAATTTTTAATTTATTTATAAGTTTAATTTATCCTAGTCACAAATTGAAGCGGCATAATTATCTAATTATTATCTATATAAGAAAGATACCATAAATTGGTGAAATGTATTTGTTATATTATGTATTGTTTCAGAAGACAGATACTTATTCGATTTGGAAAATGTGAAAAATTTATTGTGCTTTGAAATTTAATAAAACATTGTTTTCCCAAAAGATTAACTTTTATCAAGTCAATCCATGGGTCAGCCACATGAGTCAGTCAATCTTAATAGACCGTTAATGAAAGACCAAGTTTATTATTATCTATTACTTTTTAGCATTTTATTATCGCCCACTCTCTCTCTCTCTCCCTCTCTTTAATATTGTGATGCCTGAGACTAAAATAAATAATTATAGATATTGTCCTAGCAGTCTTTTCACTCCAGAACAAAATCATTTACGTTTATTAATGTTCGATGCTTTTCCACTAATTAAAGAATAATACACATAAAATTTTACAAACTAGATAAGTATCAAATTTGTACAGTGCAAACTTATAGAATTTTATTTTGACAAATTAATTAATTAATTTTGATTATTTGGAATTGCTTCTTAATTAATGTTTTCACTTTTGTATAAAAAAGAAAGATTAAGGGAAAAAATCCAATTTTGCTAAATATATGTATACATGTAATAACTTTCATATACGCTATGTTAATTCTTCTCAATGGTCAATTAGTGATATTATGTATCTATTGTATCTCTTTTTATCTGTGCCATCTACTACAATTTTCTATGGGAATGTCCGTGTCTATGTTCACTCGCATACCTATTTTAATGTCATATATTGTTAGGTCTTTGGAGAAGCTAAACTTACTCTAGCCCCGGCGCCATTTTAATTGCTTTTGGGTGCGGTTACACATTATTTCGTATCCTGTTTATTCAGTAGCACCACTGATTTGTGTTTTTCTAATCTTTTCTACAGATTGCCCGATAAATGAAAACACAGTGTATTTATTTCAATACTGTTAAATATCGACAAATGGATGTGTGCATGCGATTCTTCCTGCACTTCGTTTGCTGATGTATTCTTCACGTGATAACAGTACAATTGTGCTTGGTAAGAAGAAATGGTTGCTACTGCTTATGGAAGGACTTCATAATAAGTCGGTAAGTGACAACATTAGTTAGTCATTTAAGGTTAATAAGTTTTGGAATTAAATCTGATTATATTGTTTCATTACATTCAATTATATGTTATTTAAGTAAGTTTGTGTGTTCACATTAAGTAAAAGATGTTAGATTTGAAATCTCAACTTAAACCCTTTTTTTGTAGCCTTACCCTTTGTGTATGTATTATCTATGGCTACAAACGTCAATATGAGAACAACAGAACTAAATAGAGCAAACTTTCTGTAGTAGTGTGAAGTTAGCACTAAGAAAGCCATAAAACATTTTGTTGTATACGATGTTCTTTCTGTCAATGGTACAGTGCGTATCTATTATCTTTCTGTGTATCTATGTCATGTCTGTGTCTATATTCGTGGTGACGCTACGTCGCCATTCTAAAAATTGTGCCTGGTTTTATTCGTTTGTGGGTGGATTTTTAGTTTATTTCTTGTCTTGTTTATTTCACATCATAACTAATTCGTGTCTTCTTGTTCTCATTTACAGATTGATCAATAAGAAAAACATCATGGAATGACGTTATGCAATTCTTTCTGCACTTCGTTGGCCCTTGTCTTCTTAACATTATTAAGGTAAGAATGTATACCATAATTGAAACATCACATTACAAAAGTTAATAGCTACTAATGTCTTATCAAAAATGTGGTACTCAAGATTATAACGGTAATACTAAAATATTCGGTTGTCGCATTCATATGAAGAAAATCTAAATTAAATAAAATTTGATAATTATTTAATGTAACAATCTATTTCACAGAACATTATCAAAACTTCAGACTACGTAGTTGGACATTAATTGCAATGGTCATTTCATTTTACTCCAAACGTTCTGATGTCTGTCCACAGAAAACCATCTGAAAACAAAACAGTGTTTACAAGTATGTTGTTTTTATTGGGCCTGATTCTTGATTGGTTGTTAATGTCTTCACCTTGCAATATTATTCAGTTAATTTTCAATTGGAAATGTATGGACCACTGAAATAAATTCATAATATGGTGTAAATATTAGAATGTTACATTCTACAGACAATTAAGGTGAGAATACATACATAATTAATATTAATTGCTGATAATTGATCATTACTAATCTGTTACCACCCTATCTGTTTCAAATCGACGGTGGAGAAGACGGAGGTACAATTTGATATGAACAAAAAAAGGGTTCAGCTTTAATTCAACATGCACGTTTTAAGCTTAATTAATCATATTTAAGTAGTTTTTTTTATTTCATTTTGCAGGAACATCATAAAAATTCCAGATGACATGTGTTACAGAATAGGTATGCATCATATCAGTCCTTTTTGCAGTTTGTTGCTGTTACTAAAAGAAGGATTAACGACGTAGAACTGGTAAGTAATGAGAAACAATTTTTATTAAATATTTAGTTCTTGAACATAACAGATGTTTATTTTGCTTAATAATGGTATATTCTGTGTCAATTATTTTACCTTCATCTATAGGCATCTAAGAGCACAGCAATATTAACGGCACGTCGCCATATTACAATTTTACTTGCTTTTAATTCCATTTTTGTTTAATTTCATATATTGTTAATGCAATACTGGTGTTAATTCGTTTCTTGTCTATTTCTATAGGTTGGTCATCACTCATAACCATCGTCAGTGTAAGTCGTCAGTCCTAAGATGGTTGGATATGTCCCTCCACTTTTTCCTAATGAGAAAGAATTGAAGTTAACTTTGATGATACTGATACAACCAGTGTCTACAAAGGTGTTCTTCTTCTTGGACTTGATTCAAGATTGACATGTTCACCTTGCAACATTATCCAGTCAATTTTCAATTGGTAATTGGAAATTTATTTGGACTCCACTGAAACAAATTCTCTGTGATGGCATACATTCTACAGTTAGTTAAGGTGAGAATACATACATAATTATTATCAGTTGCTCATTACTAATCTGTTACCACCCTATCTGTTTCAGATCGACGGTGGAGAAGACAAAGAAGATCCCGTAGTTAAAATACTTTTCTCTTTTGCATGTTTTTAATTTTATTCGAATTAATTTTTTATTTTGATGGTTTTTGTAGTTTATTTTATTTGAATTAGTTTTTTATTTTGCATGCTTATTTTTGTTCATTTTATTTGAAGTAATTGTTGATTGTAGATGTTTTTATTTTTTTTTATGTAGTAGTAGTGTAGTAGTAGAAATAACACGTTTAGTAGTTGTAGTATAGTCTAACCTTGCTTACCTCTTCGCTTAGCTTACTGCATATTCTTCATAAATTGCTTTGCATTTACCCTACGTCTTCTACATGATTCAATGTTTCGTTATCGTGTGTCTTCCTTCTCACCCTTGTGGAACTAGGGAGGGCCTCCCCGAACGACTTCCCTTGGGCTTAGCTATTTAGTTGATCTTAAAAGTGTCTTATACACTTTTCGCGAGTCTACTCTAGCGTTACTTCCTTTCAGACGGGGTACAGTGGGTTATCTGGAATAGGAGCAATAGGCGACTGCCCAGCTTGCCTTGGCGAAATCTGTCCGATCTTTTCTACCAAAACTATTAGTATTTGCCGTTAGTCCTGTTAATTGCACTATTTGCTTTCAGATAATGAGGTATTTCCTAAGAAGAACGAAGACATCATTTTCTTTTATGCTTTTTATTGTAATTTCTTTGAAATTTCATGTTTTTTCTTGTATTTCTCTTTCAGGTATTTTGTTTTTTACTGCATAAACTGTTATGTCTTTATAATCATAACTTAGGTTGATATTTAAAATGTTTCTAAATTGAATTTTTGTTATAATTGTTAAATTAAGTTAATTCTTTGTTTACGCTTTCAAAATTAATGTTCGTTTTGGGTGGATAGGGTGGCTATAAGGGGAGATGCGGAGGCCACAGAAGGTTAGGGAGGCTTTTTTCTCCCTAATCTTGCATTTAAATAATAATGGTNCTTGTAGCATAGTCACGTTGTTAAATTGACAAAATTTCTGAAGCTGCACCAACGTTTTAAACAAAAAACTGTTAAAATAATAACAGCCTCACTTACACGAGTATGAGGTGAAACGTAACCCGTTTGAAAAATTATAGGCAGTACGCACTGCTTAAAACTAAATAACAAAAATTAAAATCGGATTCGAAAATTTTACATTTGGCAACAATGCATCTTTTTCGTGGGTGGGGCATGTATTATAAATAGAGTCCGGGATCTCCCGCTGTCGGGCAGATACTTCCGGGCAGATACTTCCTGACAGATACGTAAAGAGGTCTCTTACAGGTATTTTATTTTTAACTTTTATAAGTCGTTAGAATGTATTATATCTTAGATATTTTGTTTATATTAAAGTATTGTTATTTGAAATACTTATCTATCGATGTCAATACGTTGTGTTTATTATAAATGCTATTAATTTGCAACAATAAATGTATTATTGAACAAATTGTATTTTATTTAAATAAAATGTATAATAAAATTGCTGAATAAACTTCATATTGATATAAACAGCGTTTTACTTATTAAAAATAACACTAAGACATCTTTTGAGGAATTTATTTTAAAGTTATAATACTGGAAATGAACATAAATTATGATAGTAATAGTAGAATTAAACGTTTCAAGGCCGAATGATGTAGAAAAACGAAAGAAGACTGCAATATAGTTGATCCCGCGCTAAAAATTGTTACTTTTAAAAAGACCGTTTGCGACTTATGCTCTCCTAATACAAATTTTCAGATTTCACAAAATTTTCAGTTTTGCGTCATATACGAGGGCCTGTCGAAAAGTTATGGAAAATTTCAAATTTTTTCATTACTTTCTGACCATCCCTCGTATTTGGCTAAAAACCGAAAATTTTCATAAATTCCAACATTTGTATTAGGAGAGCATAAGTTGCATTGGATCTTTTTCCAGTTTTGATTTTTCCGTTACTTTCTGACCAACCCTCGTATTTGACCAAAAACCGAAAATTTTCATAAATTCCAACATTTGTATTAGGAGAGCATAAGTTGCATTGGATCTTCAAATTTTTTATTTTTCCATTACTTTCTGACCAACCCTCGTATTTGGCTCAAAACCGAAAATTTTCATAAATTTCAACATTTGTATTAGGAGAGCATAAGTTGCATTGGATCTTTTTCCAAGTTCAGAATTAAAGCGCGGAATTAACTTCACCTTTCTTACAAATAGTTCAGCTCCCTGTGAAGCTATCCACAGGAGTATCT